TTTTGAAAGTTCCATTCATCATCTCCAGAGGATAAACTCTAATGATGTGTTAACATTGTCGTGCAGAGCGTGTCAGCGTGCTGTGAGCTCTTCTGTGTCCAGCTACGATCTCACAGAACTGCTAGCATGGAGTGCTTTCTCTATTCAGTTTATTATTTTACCATATTTCTAGCATAAAAAGCCTCATTTAGGCCATTACATCTGTTTGGAGATCATTTTTTATTACCGTGTTGGTTTTTGGTTCAACTAAATTTACACTGATAAAACAGAACACCAGAGGTGTGTCGTTTATACATACAGTATATAAACATAGAGTTTATTAGCTACACCTAACATAAAAATAATGCGTCTAATACAAGATTCCTGCAATAAATCCCCCCTCCATGGAGGTTATAACATTCAGTTTTTGTTGAAACTGCTGCAGAGAGGTGTTAATTCAACTTTATGATCGTTTCAGAGGCTGCAGGTTGAGGCTGTGAATTATGAATTACATTATATGTATTACATTTACATCATTGAGGGTAAGCAAAATAACAGAAACAACCCTTATGATTAGATGGCTGTGAGGCTCTGATTGGGTAACTCTTAGCAAAATTAGGTAAATTCAAACAACCTAAGAAGAGAAGATAAATCACAGCTCAGTTCAACAGTTCTCAAAGTATATGTTCTTTGAATTTTGGGGTCATTGCCAAAATGAGATTGGGAACCACTGATGTAGAGCAACACAACAGCGATATTTCACTAACTATAACCCCCAATGTCTTCAGGGGGTTGAGCTAAATTCAAAGATTTTAAAGATCATTGAACCGTGGGGGTGTCGCAGACTTTAAATCACAGCATGAGACTTTGTCAGAGGTGGGAAAACTAATACAGATGTCAGGGGAGGAAGTTAGGGTAATTTATAGCAAAACTTTGGTAACAATGATGCATCTTGCTTCTCAGTTAGACTGAAGTCTATAACACAGATGGGCATAAGAGTCTTTTTCAAACCTGGAAGATGAAGGTATGAAAAACAAACAGGCTTTGATGGCTGTATTAGCGAGGCCCTCTCTCAGCGCCTCTGCCCTTTTTATCGCCAGCTTGTTCTCTCTTAGCGTAAATCTATCAGGCCCACATCCTTGTCCGTTAAGGCCCGGGCCACTGACCTTTTAGCATGGCTGAGATAGTGAATGGAGCAGCAGGGCGGCTTATTGAAACCAGCTGGCAGAGGGGAGTCCTGCAACCAGAGAGTGGCAGTTTGCTGCTTTATTTAATCTGGATAGGCTCAGGGAGCTGCAGGGCCGTGGCATATTTACTGACCCCGGGGGTCAGAATCTATGCGTGGGATCATAACTCTTTTTCATGGGCCTGCTCTTCTGCCGTACACAATTGTCCTGTAAAAGCCTTTGAAGTCGAGACTCAAGGAGCCGTGCTTTGGTTTAATGGGAAATCTAATGCAAGGTTGTGCAGCGCTGTCCTTGTAACATGTGTTCACTTTATACTATTATCTATCTGGGGGCAACTTAGAGCTCTCCTCCTTTTCTTTTAGTTATTTAAATGAATTCTCTTTGTGTTCTAGACTGAGGAGTGATGATGTTTACTCAGACCACTCAGTAATACTAAAGATATTTGTTAGGCCTACAAGTCCTCTTTATCTAAGACTTGGGAGGCCTATTGCTCACTCTTGATTTCCCCTAAGAAGCCAGAATGGGATTTCTTGAACTGATGTCACGGTCCCGTGTGGTCCTGAGGTGAACGTGAGCAAACGTTAGTCATGGTGTTGATCCAGCTGACTCTTCATTTCTCATAAGAGAACATTAAGAGCACCCGGTGACCCTTGGCGTATTGCTCAAGATGCACTGTGATCCAAAGCATATGGGCTCTGGAAGTTAGATGCCTCTCAGCAGTTTTGATGTGGTCTCATCAACTCCTCTCCTCCTCTGATTTGATCTGGAATCATGTAGATTTATAGATGAATTTCTATGCTGTTTGTGTTCTTTTTTCTTCTTCTCACAGCTGTCAGACTGCAGAAGAAAAACACGAAGCCACGAGAGGCCTTTGATAAATCATTTTCACCCTTATTTAACAATCCAACCCCCCCTCAGTTCTCTGAATTGATTTATTCTGACCAACTTGCTTTTGCCTTCTTTCCTAGGAAGTGTGTAGAGAGCTCTGGTGCCTTAGCAAAAGCAACCGCTGTGTAACTAACAGTATCCCTGCTGCAGAGGGGACTCTGTGCCAGACTGGCAGCATCGAGAAGGGGGTAAGTCTTCAGATGTTCCTCACACACATTAAGGAAAAAAAAAAAACACCTCACATTTTCCTACATTGTTCTTGCCTCCATATCTTCCTCACTATGTTGTTGGATCAGGGTTATGAAGAAATGAACAAACTGACCTGAAACAGATTCTTAAGAAATGTAAGCAAAGTTCTTGTCAGCTGAACACTCACAGCTGACCCATGATATCAGTCTGTTAGCTACTTAGACCTATGACTGAATACTCTAGTTGAGCATTTGATTAAATACATTTCTGCAGTTGCTCCAATTGACTTATGAATGAGGGTTGACCCATAAGGATTTTTCCGGGCTGAAATAGATTATTAGTAATCAAGGAGACATATAAGGCTGACATATATTTGCAGTAAAAATGAAAGCCTTGTTGTCAACATTTTGAAATAACACAAACTCCAACATAAAACTTTGTTGAAATGCCTTTGTTTATTTATGTTTTCAATATGGGAATCTTTTGAGTCAGTGTGTGTGTTTTTTTTTACTGCAAAAATAAAGTCCAGCACCTCTATGAAACCAGCACAACACTGGCTAGAAGGAGACAGAACTCAGAAATATCTTACGTAATTGTAATGCCATACATTTTAAAAATTCAAAGACTGATTGTTGAATTTGAAAATTCAATTATTTTTGTTTTTACGGTTTCTGGCTCTGATGAAAGATTGGACTCAGCCTACAGTGTGGATTTTTGTGTTAAAGTCATAGTTGAATTTTCTTGGCTTATGCGATGAAATCCACTGATAGCACTGAAATGAATCACATAAATATACTTGGCCTTGCTGCTGTGATCTGGATAATTTGCCAAATACTTCCCAGTGGCATCACTTTCTACTGAAGAGACAGTGCTCATGAAATTTCCTTAAAGCTTCCCCTCGGTGTTGTCCAGAATATTTTGCAGTTTGGAAAGAATGCTGCCCTTGAATCTAAATGTATTTTTTAGTTCCGTGAACACAAATAAAACTATATAATATTTGGGGATTTTACTGAGAAGAGTCAGAGCTGGATATCTCAAATAAAATAGTCACAAATCAAACCTAAAATATCTGCACGTATGTCGGCAGAGGTATTGTCGCAGTGATCAACAGCAGCAGATGAACATCCAGCGGAGAGAAGCTGAGTCAGTCTGCAGAGAACCTGAGTAAATACAGGATTCTTTATTCCTTCCAAACTTCCAAGAACAGCTTAAAAACATTTATCCTGGGATTTATATGATACTATTCATCTTTTTCAAATTTAAATTGAAACCAATGCAGTTATCAAATTGGAAAAGCTGCAGTTTAAGAGAGTCTGATCCAAAGTTTAAATTGTCATGTCATAGGTTTTATAAATTCACGTCATCCTCCTTGTGTGACAGTTGTGTTTATGATGGTGTCTTGTGGCAACGCTTCATTGTATATATCAAATCTATTACTCAGTGAATATTAAACAGAAGTTTAAAAAATTGTATCTGTCAGATAAACTGTAATTGGATTTTTTTCCCAAAATTGTTCAGCAATAAATAAAGTTCTTTTTTTTGGCTTTGTTTTTTGTAATTTGGATGAATCAGCCTTTTGTTAACACCATATATACTTAATGAAGTACCTGGTGATGTGAAATGAGTGCAACAATCAACTGGAGGTACCTCAATGCCTCCACTCTGGGAAGGGTTACCAATCCCTGAGTGTGCACTCACACACACACACACACACACACACACACTTTAATGCAGGCCAGGCTTTAGGTCATCGTCCCGCTGTTGATGCCAGCCAGGTTAGGGGAGACAGTTTTAACACGGATTACGGCAGCCATTGTCACCGGATGGTCCGAGGTCTAAAAGGGAAGAATAGGAGAGTGTCACGAGCTGTCACCCGTCATTACCATTAGCTCAGTGGAGCCTTTGAGGACCGGGGCCCGCGGACAGGGTCCTGGACAACACAGGGGGCCCCAGGTTGAGCCTGGGGGGCTTTGGAACAGCTTTTGGAGCAGCTTTAGGAGAGCCAGTGGCATACCCTGTCTGCCGCTGCCGGGGGCAGCTTCAAAGGAATATGAATGTCAGCCATTTCTCACCCAGCGTGTAATGGAGAGAGGCCCTTCCAACAGGAGCAGGGAGGGATGGAGACTGGGGGAGGGGGCAGAGGGAGACAAACTGACCGACAGACAGGAGTTTTTGTGTTTTTACTGTGAGTTCAAATGGACACAGTGACGGACAGTATACTCCAAGGTTTCGTGTCCTGATCCCTCTGTCCCGCTGCTAATCTTGTTTAGACAGCATCTCAGGACGTGAATGAGTAACTCAGATAAAGAGGACAGTGGCCCAACGTAGCCCTCACCTTGACTGTCCCGGTCTCTGCGGGTTATTAACCTACTGACACAGTTGGAGATCTCTGATCCCCTCTCCCCTCTGGAACTCTGAACAGCTTAACACGAGGCTTGTAACACTCCTGAAACACACTGTAGTGCTTTCTTTCCTTCACCTGCCTCTAAAACCACCCCATTGTGCCCTGCAAACATTAAATACACATGCAGCAACATTCAGAATCATTTACCAGGACTTCTTCCATCGTTCAAGACTTGATATAACATGGCTATTAATCATCAAAATGATGAAAGCAAACTTTTAGTTAAAGTGATAAATGAAAGGAACATTTTAACATTTTTGGAGATACCATCATTTGCTTTTCTCTTCATTAGTTTGTTTTCATAGATTTAATGTTTTTATTGTGTTTTCTGTTGTTTTATTGTCTTTTTGTAATGTTCTTCTGTATGAAGCAGTAAAGTTTTGTATTACTATTATTAATATTAATGTTATTATTTGATACTGGATGAACCCTCTGAACCCCAAAACCTACCTTTACAAAAGGCATGTTATGTTTAAAATTTGCCAAAATGCCACCATTTATCAGAGCAGGAGTCATCAGATTTTTAACTTTTCGATAATTTAAAATTATATTATTTCATCAAAAAAAACTGAATTGTACATGTCTCATTTATCAATTTACCAAAAATAAATAGTTAACACTGATCAGATTCTGTAAAAAAACTAAGGAAATCTGCATTCCTCGGTGCAACAGACAAGTCATTAGTCATCAAGAATTTAGGTACTTTTTGGTTGAACTGCAGGCTGTGTTTACGCAGATAGAAAGGAAACAAATGAAAAACAAGTAGTAATATATCAATATTGTGTAGATCCACCGCCATTTATTTTTCAATATTGGTAACACCTGTAGGCTTTTGGAAAAATACAGTACATATTGATTTCAGTTTCCTTTTTTTTGGTAAAATAAATAATTCCATCCATCCATTATCCACCGCTTAATCCTCATTAGGGTCGCGGGGGGGCTGGAGTCTATCCCAGCCGACTTAGGGCAAAGGCAGGGGACACCCTGGACAGGTCGCCAGTCCATCGCAGTTCTACACTTAGAGACAGACAAAATAAATAATTAAAGAAATTAAATTATTCTTATTATTTTTTAAATGCTTTTTGACATTATAACTGTGTCATACTGCACAAAAGACATTTCTGAGTTCTCTTACCATGGTCACGTTTCCACAGTAAATAAAAATGTGACAGGATTAAAAAAAAAAAAGTCAAGAAACTTCTTTGGGTTCAGACACTTAACAAACATAATAATTTCTCATTATACTCTTTCTGGACTCTGTCTGTGAGTTAAGTATTTTAAGCATATTAGCATCAAGCCTCTTAGAAAAGTAAACATGTGAACCTGTAACTGTTTCCAATATGCTGAAGTATTTATTCAGTGACAAAATGGACACAACCTGAATTGAGTTACATAAACAGTTAAAAAAAAAAGAAAAAAATGACAAAGGGGAAACCAGGACAGCAATAACAAAATAGAAAATAACAGGTAGCAGAGGAGAAATAACAGGACTAATGCGGAAATAAAATTATAGGGTGAGTAATAGTGTAATCACAAGTTACTCTTTGAGTGTATGTGTGTTTTTAAAGACACGCAGCGGGAGGGACAGAGAATGTGTTATTGTAGGAAAACTTCATCAGTCAGCTTCTGTATAGTCTACACTTCACTATTTGCAAATGCAAGTAAATACATGTGTGCTCACAACTGTTAGAAAACTGTAAAACTGACACTTAACTATTCTCCATTGTAATAAGTTGTGTGTTATTGTGAGTCTCTGTAAGTGAAGACGCGTTAATGTGTCTCAGCGTTTCTGTAATAACCTCTGTGTGTGTGTGTGTGTGTGTGTGTGTGTGTGCGTGTTTGTGCTCCTCCCCGGACAGTGGTGCTACCAGGGGGAGTGCGTGGCATTCGGTACCTGGCCTCAGAGCGTGGACGGAGGCTGGGGGCCGTGGTCGCTGTGGGGGGAGTGCAGCAGGACCTGTGGGGGCGGTGTATCCTCCTCCATGAGGCACTGTGACAGCCCAGCGTAAGTAGGCAAAGTAAGCCACAGCAAGCTGAACACACACATCCAGGTTCTGCCTACAGGTGTGTGTGTGTGTGTGTGCGCGTGTGCGTGTGTGTGTGTGTGTGCACATGTGGATGCTGTGTAAACGTGTGTTACATCCTTGTGGGAGCATAGAGCGGTAATTAGATTGTGTCGGATTCAGCTGTTAAATATTTCCAGGACTAAATGCTTCTTTGGGAAAGCAAACCTCTTTCAGTCTATTTGATGACTTTTCAGTGAAATATTAACTTTTAAGCTCCTCTAATGTTTTTTGTTGTTTACTCCTGCAGGACGTAATGAAGCATTTTACGTAACTTATAAACCGTTCAAAGTGCCTTTTGTGACATATGGTGCAGTGGTCTGAAATGCCGATTTCTGCACTCATGGACTCAGTAACTTTTAGGGAGTCAAGTTTTCCCCAACATTGTACACCCTTTCTGAGAGTCTACATATCTGCAGACTTTCCTGAAGAACTTGACCGTAGTTCATAGTGACATTGATGGCTTATAAATGTATTTGTCCTGCCCTTCCACAGAATGTAGCTACACAAACAAAGCATCAGTAGCGTGGGGAAGAAAGTCCCTATTGTGTTTATTTATTGCATGTTTGTGGAGTTGTTTGTGTTTTTAGTCAAAAGTAGGATTTACATGTTCATTGCGTTGGTGACTTTTGTGAGGTTGCTAACCAAACAGGGAATGATCAGCTGAGCAGTCAGTCAAACTTCAAATAAAACATAAGTCAAACGGAACTTTGTGCTCCTGTACAACGTCTTTCAAGTCCATTTTTGAGGGCAAAAAATGTACCTACTGTGGTGTAGATACAACACACATGGCAGTAGTGTGTATGTGCAGAATATGCACATACAACCTACTGCAAAAGTCCCTTTGGACTTCACCAGACAAGGAAAGTAGCACAACAAAAACTGTGCATCCATGGGTGCCATTTGCATTCATACTGGTGTGTGATGAAAGCTTTAGAGAGTTTCAGGTCACTAATCAGCTTTCCGGTTGCAACTTTACTGTTTTGGTTCACTCTGTCTGTTCTCATCGTGTTATTTTGGCTTGAAAAGCTCTAAAATCCTGCTACCTGCTCAGTGAAAACAATGGACGGACATAGTCTGAGATGAGCTGCTGAACAGTCTGGAGCATTTAGCAGCTGATGAACCAGATGTTCCACACAGGAGATGGTAGAGACCAAAAATGGAGTTAAAAGAGAGTGAATATTTGATTGTCCCTAATAAGGCTGTTCATGTTGCCATACTTAGAAGAAATATGTGCAAAATATTTCCATAAAAAGAAAAAACATCTTCAAAAATGAAAAAACAATACCTGTCACCTATACCATATGGCCTGGGGTCCAAAAGACCCCAAAAGTCCTGAACAGGGTTATATTACTTTTGTCAGGACGTCAGAAGCAGGACTCTCAGTGACTAATAATGTTGCTCCACAACTGCTGGGTGTTTAAAGAAGAAACTGTTTGCTATTTTCAGCAGCTGTTCTTCAGACGCAGGTTTAAAGACAGTTGAAAAAGGAAATTTAACATGCCGTTACCACTTAATTTCCAAGTCAAGGAAAAGACAGAGTGCACAATGTCTCACTTTTAGTGAACCTGGAAGTGGCTGAAATGACACAACAGTTGTACAGACTGAAGCAGAGCATAAACACACAGAAGTGGGAGATACAGGCTTTGAGAGGGTGCTGTTTGAAGTCTGGATTAGATGTTTTGCTGAATTTGAGCATTTTCGGGGTGATCTGAGGTGGGAAAAGAAAGGAGCGACCAAAATGACAGACTGTCAGTGAAGAAAACACACCTGAAAGTCTCAATGGAATAACAATCTAAAACCACAACCAACAACATATTAGCTGCTGAGAGCACAACTTCTTGCGCAAATAACTTTGTAGGAGCCAGTTCAGTTCAGTTCAGTTCAGCCTTTACTACTGTGTCCTCATGCAGTTTAAGATAGTCCTGGTGATGTAGCATGTGCAATAAGTTAAGAGACAGCTCTCTCTCTCTCTGTCTCTCTCCCAAAGATTATGGCGATGCGTAGTTTTGTTTTAAAGCCTCCCATGTGTCCTCGCTAGACAAATCATTGACCAGTGCATCTTTGGCTGGCAAGCAGACATCTGGGATCATTATCCTTCTTCCATCGTTGCATTCCTTTGTTTTGGAAGATAGGTATTACGTCAAACACGTCATGGGAAGACAAGAGAAAGAGCCAGGGTGAACCAGAGGGAAGGGGAAAAAAAGGGGGGAAGGAGGGACGAGGGGGGAGAGGAGAAGGCACCAGCATAATGTGGAACACCTGTGAAAGGTGATCGCTGCTGCTCAGGCATCAGTGCAAAGAGGAGGGAGGCAGAAAAAACACAGGCAGACCAGCTTCGAACACATTCATTACACAGGCTGTCTTACAGTTTTTTGCAGTGAAGTGGAAATAGTCATGGAGGCTAATGAAGGTGAGAAGAAGGAAAGAGGTGATAAGAGAAGAAAAACAAACCTTTTGGAGATGTAGTAGATGTGTAGTGAAGAGTGGATGAGGGAAAAGAGCGAGTCGTTCTGAGGTTACAGACTTTAGTCTCTCTCCCAAATCTAAATGTCATGTCACACTTAAGAGCTCTTAGAGCAGCTTGGATTTCATGAATGAATCATTGGCACACATGCTCAGCAAAGCAGCACATGCAGACACACAAACACACTTTGTCTTCTGGCAGAGACTTTTTCAGGCCTGTTTTATGACCTGTCGTTACCCAACTTTTCCCTATGCATTCTCTGCGTCCTAAAGATAATTTCTTTGAAGAAATAGTGATTGTAATTTATAGTGATTTTGCATTCTTTTCAATTCCACTCTCATTTAATTCTCTTGTGTCTCTCAGCCCGTCTGGAGGAGGCAAGTACTGTCTCGGAGAGAGAAAGCGATACCGATCCTGTAACACTGACGTGAGTTTCTTCATTTCTTTACCTCCCTGCTTTATTCTCTGCTTAGTATTTAACTCTCTGAACCCCAAAACCACCTGCCATGTCAGATGAACACATTGTCTGCACAAAATTAGCCAAAATTACAGCATTTACTGGAGCCAGAAACTGTAAAAAAGGAAGAATTGTCAGATTTGTAACTTTCTGACAATCCTTGAATGCATCACTTAGCCAAACCTAAGCCTAAAATAATGATATTATTACCAAAAATCTAATCAGATTCTGTAAATACCATAAAATTCTGCACTGCACGGTGCAATGGTGAATTCATTAAGAACTCAGCTGCAACCAACAGTCACATGACAAAGTGAACTGGGCTGAACTGCAGGCTGTGTTTTCACAAAGATAGAGAAAAGTGTTGAGGCAAGTTACAAAGCTATTCAACTGTGTTTTAATGCGCAAATGACATTTCTGAGTTCTCTCTATTTCTAGCCATGCCTGTGCTGTTTCCATAGAGGTGCAGGACTTTATACTGAACTAAAAAATGAGTCCACAATGAGTAAATATGTGATAGGATGAAAAAAAGAAATGCCCAGAAACTGCTTAGAGCTCAGGGGGTTAAATCAAAGTGACTTTCAAACTGCTGAATCTCCTCTTTGCTGCTCCACATTTCTTCTGCAGAACATGTTATCATAGAAAAAGCTTTACAGGCTGCACATCAGCTCACAGCATCACGCTGCCTTTAAGCTTTCTGACATATTTTCTTCCTGGAACGTCGGACGGACAATGATAAAAGTGCACAGGCAGTGATTCAATACTCCCCTGGTGACTTTGAGGTTATTCGCCCCTTTGTCTCTTTATGGTTCCTATATTGTTTGTGACATTTCACTTGAGTCAAACAATGTTGACAGTTTCAGAGTGTGTTTCACGAAAAGCAATTCACAGGCCTTTTTTTTGAGGTCTGGAGCAACGTTTTAAACAAATATTTTACATGGCTGCAAGCTGAGATCTCTGTTCAACTATTTCTAGGTGGCCTTTTTTTCACTAGGTGAAAATTGAAATAGTTAGGGCCCTAGTGGACATTTAACCGCAAGTCTTAAAAATAACAGCTCAGAGCAAGAACTGAGTGTTATTTTTGGAAAACAAACAACGTCCCAAACCGCTATTTCATCACACGGACCACACCTCATCCAAGGAAATGTGTGTGTGTGTGACGGAGAGAGCACCAGATGTAGACACAATGACAAATACTCACAATCTTACTTGCATACATTGAGGTTTATACATTGCTGTTTTCATTTTGATCACTGGTCAGATATTGTTTGTTAACTGCATGTCTCTCCTTTCTTGTTGCTACTACATTTGTCCTGTGGGAGGTTACTTATATTTTTATTCGCACATTGCTTCACGGTAGAGCTACTGGAGAGGGACTCTTCTTATGACTGGAAAGTGGGACACTGGTATATACTGTATGTAGATTATAGCTGACTTTAAAGGGATACTCCAGCTATTTAATATTGTGCTCTCATGAAGTTTGGGGACTGTAAGAGACAGACTAACAAGACTAAGTCTGCCGATGTACTTGGTTATAACGGCAGCATCATTGTTAGCATATTTATTTGTGTGTGTTGTGTGTATCTCTGGAACGAAAAAGAATATCCATGAGGTGGCAGATTAGCATATCCATGTTAAAAACTGATACTTTCTCTTGTGAACTCATATGAACTGTTACCTACAAACATAGATTGTGTCAACACTGTAATTGTGTACCACTTTTATAACACTACAACGTTGTCAAAGCTCAGATCATGTACGATGGTCAGCTCTGTGAGCTTTCCCTGAAAACTTTCTGCCGTTGTTGTGGTGATCCAAAACTGCTGCTCACCTTTTTTTTTTTCTTGTCATCTTGCAAATTCCTAATGTTAATTTTCAAGGACATACTAACCACAAATTTGTCTTTAAAGTTGTTCTGTGATCCAAAAAGATGGAGACCAAACACCTGAAATGTTCATTCTTTTCCAAATACAACCAACTTTATGTGAACTTTGTCCAGATTTATTTGTCTGTCATTGTTGAGATTTCTATTTAAGTTAGGCGCTGTCTGATCAGATAAAAAGAAAGGAGAATATGACCAGCTATTCGGTACCATGTTGAGCAGCTTTTTGTAACAAATAAGCTCTTTTCCGATTATTGATTTGCCCCTAAAAACTCATCTCTGTGTCTCAAAGTTTAGAAATCCATGAAAATAATCTCATCCTGCCTGAAAATGTCTTTCATGGAACTACTATTCTCTCTCCGTCCACTCCTCTTTGCTTGCTGCAGCCGAGCACACCAGCTCACCTATGACTGAGTTCAGTCACTGTAAACATACTCCAACTACACAAACTTACTCTATGGTACACAATGGCAAGTTGTAATATTGGAGTGGATGAGCCGTACATGTTTAAATCAGAGGTGATTCTGAGTAAGAAGAATGATGCAGGAAGCCTCAACCTGCAAGTTAACAGGATTAATTCCGTAGGTTTGCCATGTATGTAACCCCAGAAGTTTAAATCTGTGTTTTTGTCATCAGTACACTGAAGTTTTAAGGTAAAAATGCTTAGTCTTGGTGTTTTCTGCTTATTTCGCTCATGATTAAAAAAAATAAAAAATAAAAAATACAAATTCCAGGTGCTGAGAGGTCAGCAGCCTGTTGCAACAACTTCGCGACAACAGTCCATTTTTAAAACATTTTTTTAAGTAATGTTTGACTGTTTTTTTGCAAATTTCTCCCATGGGGATCAATAAAGAATTATCTTATCTTATCTTATCTTATCTTATCTTATCTTATGTCTTTCAGCAAATTAAAAAAACCCCAATATGGACTATTACCAAGATACAAACCTTGATTTTTGCTGAAGGAGGTCTTTAAAGTCGTGTCTAAAACAAAGCTAGTGCTCCTGTGAGGATTTACTTTGGCACTACAGTACTTTAGGGTAATGCTAAGATGCATACGATTAGCAAAAAAATAATATCTACCCTGCCAACCATCTGATTTAAGTGTGTTAGAAAGCTGGCAGTTGCAGTAAACATGAAGTAGAGCTGAGGCTGAAGGGAATGTTGTTAGTTTGAGACAAAAAAGAAGTTTAAAATGAAATACAACCTTGAATGACACTCAGAAAGCGCATCCTTCCCCAAGGCTAATGCTCTGTTTTACAGTTTCTCTGGCAGAATTTAATATATTCTTCCTTTGTCCATGTTTCACCTCTCCACCAATATTCATGAAAATGAGCTTGGTAGTTTTTGTGTAATCTTGGTGACAAACAGACAAACAAATGACACATCTTGCTGGAAAAAATATCCTCAGAAGTACATGAATGGTCATACCAAATTTAATGACAATCCTTCCACTTACTTCTCACCTAAAAAATGTCAGTCTGCCACTGGTGGAAGAAGAAAAATCATCACTAGGATTCATCCATCTTTTAGTGTTAGTTTAATGGCATGTATTTAGCACATCTAGTATTTGTTGAACTATTTCAGTTTAAACCAAACTGGTGAACTGACTGAGGCAGAAATCCATCCGACAGCCGTCCACAGAGCCACGCGAAAAAATGAGTTCTCTCTAAGCCACAACTAAGATTTCTGAAGTTCCTCCAGCTTGACAAAGCTTCTCAAGAACCACCGATGACATGATACAGCACCAGACAACATTAATACGTTGAGTTTCATGTGTAACATTAGTGTAGTTTGAGGACACTGGTGTTGTCTCCTATTATATAAAGCTTTTGCCTCTAAGTGATTTATTACATAGAAATGCCAAACCTGCTCTGGTTACACTCTCGTACATTTTATACACTTAACTATCAGTCAGTAGGGGTAATTGATAATGCAAATAATGCTTACTTTCAGCCTTATTAATGTGATCGATGAAGTTTTTCCTTTCTTCAAACACGTGTTAGCACGTGTTAATCTCATTTGGCCCTGCGTTGTCATTTCAACACACACTTGCAACAATATTATTCTGTCTCTTCTGACTCGATCTACATGTTTGATGTGCAAGTTTAAAGCTGCCATATTGGCAAAACACTTGAGTGGTAATGAAAGTGGCCTGGCCTCCCCCTGGCCCGCTCCAACATGGAACACTTTCAGCATGTGAAATACAGCTTTGACCCGAGAGCTTTTATTTGTCCTGAGGGAGAGCATTTTGGGGTTTCTGAGGACCTTTTCACACCAATAAAGTGTTTTCTTTCCACTTTTTACCTCCTCTTACTCGAGCAGTATCCACACAGTGGAGTGCCATCCCAGATAAGTCCAGAGCCAGAGTGAGGCCTGCACCAGCCTGCACCGTGCTGGCCTTTCTACCTCCTCTGGCTCTGTTTATGTTTCTAATTATGCAGCCAAAGAAATGCTTCATTATCCATCATAAATCCACACATGAGCAATCCCTCCAAACACAAAACACACGGCTCTCAGTTGGAACTTCCAAGAAACAAGTCTGTTTTAGTGTGTGAAAATAAAATGTGACATTTTATACGGACTCTGTCCAGTTGTTAATAAAGCTGTTGTCTGTGCAAAAACAGAAATAGTTTTTTTACAGATAATTCACTTACTCTAATGGCAACAACATGCGATCCTGCATCTCAGGGCCATACCAGTGTGTCTGCAAGTTTTAGCTCCTTACTGCACATCATTTACATTTTTAGAACAGTTTTTGAATGCACACTCAGACTTTTGGACCTTGTTCCTCTTCTATTTATTTTATCAGTTTCCATATTACACAAAAATCAACTGACAGACTCTTAACCTCATAAACTCCCTGAGAACACCTGCATTTTCTGTTTTCCTGTCTTTCAGTTTCACACTATGTCACCAAAATGGACATTGTTTGGTATCCCAGGATTCAGTCTCTGTAAAGCATTTTTTTCTCTTTTGTTTCTTACAAATTGTGCACAAGAGTATACAGAAACACAGTTTTGGGCTTTTTATGTCTGCAATATTTGAATTATAATAAAAATAATTTAAAAGATTTTTCTCTGTCTACAATAATAAAATTCTGCAAAAATAAACATACAGCAGTCATTGCAACTTTGGATTTTGTGGTTCAATTGCTCTTGTGAAGAAGTAAAAGAAAACGGATGCTATTTTTTATTTTATTTAACCAAATATGTTCATGTTTAGGGCTGCAATGTAGCTTGGTGGTTAGCACTGTCGCCTCGCAGCTAGAGGGTCCCGGTGAGGACACCCGGGATCTTTCTGCGGGGAGTTTGCATGTTCTCCCCGTGCAGCGTGGGTTCTCTCCGGGTTCTCCGGCTTCCTCCCACACAGTCCAAAAACATGCTGAGGTTAATTGGTGATTCTAAATTGTCCATAGGTGTGAATGTGAGTGTGTTTGGTTGTCTGTCTCTAAGTGTGGCCCTGCGATGGACTGGCGACCTGTCCAGGGTGTCCCCTGTCTTCACCCTAAATCAGCCCCCCTGTGACCCTAGTGAGGATTAAGCGGTGTATAGATAATGGATGGATGGATGTTCATGTTTAGTGACATACTGTTTGTGTCTCAATACAAGTAGGGGAAAAGGAGGAAGCTTGAATGCAGACATCCTTGGGGAGTTTAGAAAGCTATTATATTCTGCCCATTGTTTTTTTGTACCATGTAAAACATCAAAAAATCTGAGCCAACCTTGAAAAATGTTTTTAAAAAATTGGGGAAAGAGAAAAGGCCATGGATGCCAATGTGCATCTTCATAAGTTGGGTATGATTATCTATGATGGGTACAGCATGCAAAAACAAAGGATGAATTAGAGGTGAATCAGTGGCTAAGTGCTAAATATTCCAACATATGTACTGATTTATTCATTTCAGTTCTTAAAAATATGTACAAACAAGGATGAAACGTGTAAAAACCCTAGTATTGTCCTTTAAATATCCAAAAGTCATTAATTTCATTTGTTTTTTGCAGGCCTGCCCTGCGGGATCTCGTGATTTCCGAGAGAAGCAGTGCGCCGATTTTGACAGCATGCCTTTCCGTGGGAAGTACTACAACTGGAAGCCTTACACTGGTGGTGAGTTTCACCTGCTGTTTGTACAGTATAGCTTTGGTTTCTTTTCCCTACAACATAAACTATTTATTTCTAAATGAGATGCTGTCAGAATCTGAAAAAAAAAAACATGACAGAATAATTTAAATGCACCAAACTTTCTAGCATTTAAAGTATTGACCAGATTTGACCTCTCTCTCGCATTTGAATCATCAATAAATGCTCATCTTATTACCAGGCTAAACTGCTGAGCTGTAAAACCCTTCTGTCATCCTTTTTGTGTCACAAATGACAGTTTGCAGGCTGGTCTGTCTTGTGTTCCCTGTTAACAGCAACAGAGGGAACGTCTGTTTGATGGGTAGAGAATTCTTCAGATTCCTGTATACTGAGCAGTCACTGGTTTGCTGCTGCTGCTGCTGCTGCTGGTCCAAACTGGGAGATTTTACTTGCTGAACTGACATCTTGACACATCTCAAGTCAAGAATCTCCCAGAAGAAGCACTGAGGCTTATTTTTTTTTGTCTTCTCTGGATCAGCTCCATGTGACTGAGCCAGAAAGGGTGGAAGTGCTGTTGTACGCTCAGTTATTGGCAGAGTTGAGGAGTGCAGGCCTTGTGTCATTCTCCCTCTAAGTTCTCCCCTTGATGTCTGCAGATCATGGAAAATATCCACTTAACTAAAAACACAAATATCTCAAAGAAAAGTGATAAAGTTCGAAGCATGTAAACACAGCTCTTATTTTCCTTCAGAGATGGAGGAGCTTAAGTTTGATCTCGTTTATCAAAGGGGTCTGTTATGTCAAATCCATCACCTCCTGACTTGCGGCGCTCTGTGGGCTGGGAGCCGTCATGTAAAAACAGCAGATAACCTGCGTGTGGATGTCAGTGTTAATTGTTGTTGGCAGGCCGCGCTGTCTCTCCTGGTGTCAGCGTTACAGTGACGTCAGGTTTCGGCCTTTTAGATCTGAGCGCTGCTGACTTTCCTCCACATGATTATTATTGTCAACAAGTGCAGAGGAGATCCCAGAGCTGGCTGTGAGTCCTGGGATGACACCAGTGTTTGCTGGTTTCTACGTGCTGTTGGGGCCTGACAGGGTTCAGGTCATGCTGTCTGCTCTCTGTGTGCAGGCTGAATTACAGATAATAATAACTGTGTGTGTGTGTGTGTGTGTGTGTGTGTGTGTGTGTGTGCTGTGCAACCCAGGTGGTGTTAAGCCCTGCGCTCTGAACTGCCTGGCAGAGGGTTATAACTTCTACACAGAGCGCTCTCCTGCCGTCGTAGATGGCACCCGCTGTCAGGCTGACTCTCTCGACATTTGCATCAATGGAGAGTGCAAGGTAAGGAGGCGCTGCTTTCAAAAGCTGTTTAAAAGCCAAAACCACACTTTCAAACATGGGGTGTGCTTTGGAAATCCATTTTATTTTCTTTCATTAAGCTTTTGCAGGGAAAATCACAGCTAATTACAATATTAATCTCAAGGCTCCAACCATGTTGTATCAATTACCTCCTCAGCTTAAACAAATAGTGGATTAGGTGATTAGTCAATCAACAGAAAAATATCCAGTAAACTATTTTGACAATAGATTAATAATATTAATGATAATAACTTTATTTGTGTTGCGCCTTCTGAAAACAAAGCTACAAAGTTCTTTACAATAAATGATGTAATGTGATCCCTATTTTCTGATATTCTGTAGTAGCTGGGTGTATAAACCTAACAAAAGAGCAACTGAAAATGAAAATCGTGATAACAAAACTAAATAATTAGTCCTTCTGATTTAATCTGTTTGCCTCTGCCTTACATTAAACCAAATCTGAGGCTTCTGAATATCTTAAATTGCACTATAACCTTTACTTTCCATTTTATTACTCTAAGACTGTTATGTCTTGAAATGTTTTTTTTGTTTATTGCTTCATGTCCTTTTTATACTTTGTCTTGATGCTTTTTCTGCTTTGTGTAAAGCACTTTGAATTGCCTTGTTGTTAAAATGTGCTGTACTGTGCAACTGATGTTGCTTTGCAACAATGGTTTACAATGGGAAATACTAATCAGGGATTTGCTGTTCAGGGTTTTTGCCACCAAACAGCCACCAGGCTGTCAGGTCATCCTAGAAAGAGTCTACTGTAGCGCAAACCATCAACTTTTCCTAACCTTAAAGCAGTAGCTTTGGTGCGTAAACTTAACCAAAGAGCTACTGAAAATGAAAATAATAATGATAAAAAAGCTGAACAATAAGCAAACAACATTGAAAAACAACCCCGTTATCCTGGATCAACCGCAACTCCACCCTTCTTACAAGGGTTATGTCAGTCTATACAACAACTGACCCGCTGACATCAAAAGACATACACTAAACTCAGTACATCGAAATTGTGACGAAGCATCCATATGTGACGAGTTGTTACTGTGAATGAGCTGAAGCCAAATCTTTCACTGTGCCAAATGGAATCTGGCATCGTGACTCTTGTGATTGTGTGTGGCCGCAAAGCCTGATATTTTCTCAAATTTCTGCTCAAGTGACATTTTATCTCTGCAATAAGTGACCTTTCTCAGCCTCTGAGCCAGTTTTTATCGCTGGCAGCTCTGCTTGCTAGATACTGGTCACATAAACACAACAGCCAAAGCACAAAACCGCACTAACAATCAGGCCTTTGAGCTGCTGATTGTGATCGAACGAGACTCTTATCAGGCCTCTGCAGCCTCAGCTCGGATTGTTTTGTGGTAAATAAAACACAAAAATCATTGTTTTTTTATTGAATAATGATTTTATATATATTTGACAAGGCAGATTTAATAACAAAGCCAAATAAGATTTTATTGAAACTGGTTGGCAACTGGTGCTCTCTTTGTTCTCATGAGCATAAATCATTTCTGTGCACTTTGTGTGTGTGGATGAGGGTTTCTGAGTATTTTCTGAGATGCAGCTGAAATAACTTTTTGGTTCCTCACTTCAAGTATTTGCTTTGACTTCCACCTGACCGTACGATTTGATTCCTGTTTGGCATGAAAAGGCGGGTGCCATGCCCACGAAATTACTCTGATTCTAATATACAAACACAACATGATGTGTGTTTTAATGGGAAGAAAAACTCCAAGAGGTGGAATATTCCCTACCAGAGGAGCATTACAGGTTTGTTTCCAGTCTGAGTCCAGCTCGTCGTTTTATTTCAGAGGCTATAGCTCTCTGGCTTCGCTGCCACACTGTGATAAATCTCTGTCTGCTTGGAAAGCTCTCAGAAACACTCAAAACTCACGACTGTGCACATGTGGTGGAGACAGAGAGACAGATTATGAATAACAGAGAGACAGAAGAGAAAGTGATAGACATTACAAAGAAGCTGAGATCCAAAGGAGTGTCAGAGACAACAGGAATCCTTCCCATAGCATTAACATACACTTTCCCCCTCTTTAAGTAGCTTTTAAAATCACCTCATTGTCTCACACCATAAGCTTAATCCAACTCTGTTAAATCTATATAATAATTCAACCTAGAGAAACTCCACCTTTTTATGGAGTGCCACCTTTTCCTCTGATTTATATTTTTGCACTCGAGTCCCACTTTCTCCATCAGGAACACTGTCTTTTTTGGATGGAAACCTAAGAGTTTTTTATGAACATGCCATCAAATGAAAATATTTTAGATCTCGCAGGCATCATTTTTCTATAAAGTTCCCCAACATTCAGCCTGACACACTTGGAAACTTGGGTTTTGTTGCTGCAGTTGATAAAGCTGTTATGACCCAGTTAAGAGACTGCAGCTGTGTCCAGAAATACTCCATTTACTGCAAGGTGCACTGCATTTAGTCTCTGCTATGTCACTCATATTCATAGCAGTGTAGAGCTATAACTGATTATTGTTTTAATCATCGCTTGCAGTCTAGCGAGTTAGTCGTGAGTTAACACATTAGTTCCACTGGTTTGTGTTGTCGTTTGTTGTAGTATTGTACAAAAACTAAATCACTTAACATTCACTGATGTGTTTTTTTCAGGGCCGATGCTGATTATTAGTAATCAAAACGAACAACAACTGGTTTATTGCATATGTTTAATTAAAAGTGAACCTTTTCAACGTATCTGGTGCAGTGTTGATTGGTTGTTACTCATGACTACAGGCACAGAGAGGCGACTGCTTTACGAACGCAATTTTAAATTAACTTAGTGTAGAAAACAACAACAACAAAAAAAAAGGTAATAAATTGCTGAATAATTAATTTGATAAACCCCTACATTCACCTTTTGCCTATTTGGAACTTAGAATAACTGTGAGGCCACAATCACGAATCATTTATTTGTTTGCATTAAATATGAATACAAACTTAGCAGCTAGTTTTCCATTTTTTTTCATATAACTGTAAAAGTTGGGTGCAAAGTTATTTGAACAGGCAGGTTAACTGAAGGGTAGATTGTGAAGACAATGTACATCTAGACCAAAAAAGTGCAAAAATACGTTTTCGAAGCAAAATAACTTAAACACAAAAAAATCTCTGCACATGGGAACCAGTAAACACTCTCCACTCTGTCATAAGTTTAAGCATTTACATATGCTCATGTTTAGAACATTTAATATAAAATGTACACGTGAGGAACGTTTCCTTTGCATACATGTTGCATTAGATATAACCATCAACAGAAAACACTGCTGGTGTTGCAGCCCTTAAAGATCCTTAAGTAATGAAAAATAATGACATAATGAAAACCTTCAGTCAAAATCTACTGAATAGCACTGTTCCTCCCATGACGCTCCGAGGCATTACCAATCAATAAATGAAGCAATCACTCCAAATTGAGCACAGATAAAGATTTAACAGGCTTCATACGGCCTCTATATTAAATTTTATTTCAAGCCAACACATTTTAGATCAGTTACACTGAACAGTTTAAACTCTGAGTACATAATTTTTATGATCTAAAAAAACTACCAAGTGACTAATAATTACAGCTGTAGCTGCAAGTATTAATTTAACTTTAGCTATTTATTAATGTATGAGATAAATATTGTGTTTTTCCTTAGGGCTAAAGCCAAATATTTGTTTGTGAATTTCTTATCTAGTATGTTGAGAACGTCGCTGAACACAACAGTGGAGCTCAGTGGCCTGAAAGACAATTCGTGGGATTTGTTCTCTTTAACCAAATATTTTGGTATTGATAAATTGAGTACTGACAGCTTGATCCAAATTGATTCAAAAATCAAATGTTTTCCTATGAAATGGTGTATTTATCGTGTAAAGGTTCACAAAATGGAGCTGCAATGTAGATCGGTGGTTAGCACTGTTGCCTAGAGGGTCCCCGGTTTGTGTCCCGGTGGGGGCACCGGAATCTTTCTGCGTGGAGTTTGCATGTTCTCCCCGTGCAGCGTGGGTTCTCTCCGGGTTCTCCGGCTTCCTCCCACACAGTCCAAAAACATGTTGAGGTTAATTGGTGATTCTAAATTGTCCGTAGGTGTGAATGTGAGTGTGCTTGGTTGTCTGTCTCTAAGTGTGTCCCTGTGATAGACTGGTGACCTGTCCAGGGTCCCTAGTGAGGATTAAGTGGTGTATAGATAATGGATGGATGGATGGAAATTATAACTTAAGCTCTACTTTTTAGTTTTTTTCGTAAATTGTATGAATTTGGAGTAAGATGTGTCTCCACTTAAGCTGCTGAAACAGTAGAGGACTGTAGCTGCTCAGGACTGTGTGAATGCTGTATAAATATAAAAAGGAAGGCATTGTATTCTGGTTACTTCCTTTATAAACAAACACGACAAATCCTTCCCTAAAAAATCCCCCTCACTGTGCCAGTCACTCCTGTTTTAGCTCCGTTTTTTTTTTTTTTTTAAAGGAACAGGGCTTTTAAGTAACAGTGTAACATTTGTGAAAATGTGTTTATTTGCTTTATTTGCTGTTTTTGTGAATTAGATGAGAAGATCAGTGCCACTCTATTAAATATTATTTCACAAGCCAGCAGCTGATAAAACCTGGAAACAGCCTGGCTTTGTTGGTGACACTACAGTCCAAGCAGCAGCTCAAAAACTGTTGTTTAATCCATATAAAAACTAGAGCCTTGTCACCTCTGTAAAACCACAATGTGCAATGTTTGTGTTATTTTGTTACCTTTGGACAGAAGCAGGTTAGCAGTTTCCTCCTGTTTTCAGTCTTTATGCTAAGAAGCAACATAAAGTGCCCTGCTCTTCTTATTCAATCCATATCCATCATCCATAATAAATCTTTTTACATATTCATTCCTCACACAAAGTGAATAAGAAGGAGAGAAGAAAATGTAGTCTAACAAAATGAAGCATTTAAATCCCAGTATGTCATTCAAAACTAATTTAGCTTATTTCAACAAAATAAGAAAGTATTATCCTTTTCTATGATTCTCTGTTGAATGCAAAAATCTTTACCAAAAGTGTTTCATATTTTTGTGTTTATCTCTCCGTGTAAATGTTCATCTTTCTAGTGGAACGTTTGACATCATCTTTCTTCATTCAGTGCGAAATGGTTTGTCTGTGAGTTGTTGTTTTTTTTTTTTTTTTACCCAGAACAAAACAAATTAACTTTTTGGCATTTACAAAATTCTGACATAGTTATGTTGTTTTTAATGAATATACATACCAGAATGGTATCAATTTTCTCTCAGCAGGAAAGTAAATCAACATATTTTCCAAAATGTTAAACTGTTACTTCAGAGCCTGAAGCCTGCACTCTGAAATCTGACCTTTGATTTGCAACAAACTCACAGTAAAACGGTGCTAAATAAGTCAAAACAGCGAGTTTGGCTCTGTCTGAAGGCGACAACATACTCTTACCAGCAGCTGTAAAGCTCAGTCATAAACACATTGAGTCTTTGTGTTTATTTCGTACAGATGCTGGAGTCTTGTCACCTCTACGAAACCCTATAAAATCACAATGTGCCATTTTGGAACTCCAGCTTTTCTATTAATTTAAACAATGCATTAATTAGTGAACTGTAGGGGTGGTGGTATATTTTGTCACTTTGAGACAGAGGCAATCTCCTCCTGTTTCCAGTCTTTATGCTTTGCTCAGCTGCTTCATTTTTCCCCCCATCAATATCTTTGTTTATTTCCAAACCAACCAATTATTCTTCTGCATGATTCCCTGTTACATGTAGATCTTTCACATAGTTCATAATGGGTTGTCAGACTTTTTATTGTTGTTGTTTTTCTTTCATTTAAAATGTTAATCTTTCGAGTGGAAGTTCATTTAGCTTCATGCAGTACAAAATGGTTAATCAGTGCATTTTTTCCCCAGAGCTAACAAAATTAGCTTTATGACATTTAAAAAACTGAGATAGTTATGTTGTTTTTAATGAATATAAATACTAGAGTGGAATCAATCTTCTCTCAGCAGGAAAGTGGATAAACATATTTTCCAACTATTTTTTAAGACCGTGAAGCCTGTGCTCTGAAATCTGACCTCTGCTTTGTAACAAACTCATATTTTCACAGTGAAACGGTGCTAAATAATCCAAATCCCTTCTCCAGTTTTCAATTAAAACAAGCCTGACTCTCATTCTCTGGCTTTGTTTGTTGGCTTCAAAGCATGTGGGCTGCGATAACATCCTGGGCTCTGATGCTAAGGAGGATCGATGCCGTGTCTGCGGAGGAGATGGCAGCACCTGCGAGGCCACCGAGGGACTCTTCAACGATTCCCTGCCCAGAGGAGGTGTGTAACTCCAGGTTGGCTGCTTCAGGTCACCTCAGGTTTCTGTTAGAGCTCCACTGACATATCGCAGAGCAGCGATAGTATGTTTTGGTCTGATGACCACATGTGACAAACTTAAACTCACCGGAGATGACTGTGAGGAAACTCATCGTCCTTTTTGGCAAAGCAGCTTTTGTCTAAAAGCCAGTACATCCCTGAAGCCAGAAAGATAATCTTTCATGGAAGTGTGCTTTTTTTTTTTGCCTTTGTCACCCACCGGCCGAGCATATGTTTTTAGCTATTTAGAATTACGTTGCCAGAATATAGATCAAAACATAATACTTTTCAAATTAATTACATCATGGGGTGAAGAAATCAGGAGTAGAGATAGGGACCTGGTGTTGGCTGTAGCCTGAGGTCGTCTATAGAGAGCAGAGGAGAGAGAGAGAAAACATATTTCTCCTTCTATGGTATGGCTGGTAAACCATCTAAAAATACTGTGTGC